ATTTTTTTTTTTTTTTTTTCCCCACGTCACCCAGATAAAGGTTTTTTTTTTTTTTTTTTTTTTTTTTTTGTCTTTTTGTCTTTTTCCGTGTCCGGCAACGGGATTGCAAACCTCGGTGTTGCCCCCGCGCCTCGCCCAGCCAGTGAGCGGGAACCGGTCTGCATGTGGGATCCGAACCCTCGGCGGGAGCGCCGCCACGCTTCCCAAGCAGCGCACCAATCCAGTGCGCCACCGGGCTGGCCCAAGGAATGCTTTTTGAAGAAACTTAGATTGTGCTACTAAAATCGGGAGGTTCTGAGGCATTTTGAACTAAATTGGGGAAGTTAAGCATAGAATTGCATATGACCAAGCAATTCCTCTGCTAGGTGTACTGAAAGCTACAGGACTGAAAGCAGGTATTCAAACAACAGGACTGAAAGCAGGTATTCAAACAAATACTTGTACATGCCACGAAGCAGCATTATTCATATCAGCCAAAGAGTGGACACAGTCCAAGTGCTGGCCATCAAGTGATGACGGACAGAACGCGCTATATCCGTACAATAGGGTGTTAGTCCGCCATGAAAAGGAATAACACGTGCTGACAGATGCTGCAACCTGAGTGAACCTTGAAAACGTTGTTAAGCCCAACAAGCCGGATACAGAAGGTCTGATGGTGACTCCACGATCCATGAGTGTGACATCCCCAGAATGGCTAAATCCACGGAGCAGAAGCAGGCTGGTGACCGGAAGGTGGGAGGGGACCGAGGACAGTACCTGTTCGCTGGCTCGAGGATTTCTTTCGGAGGGATTACAATGTTCTGGGCCCGGACACACAGCGATGATGGTCACACAGCGCTGTGAACGCTCTGACCACCGCGCATAGTGAACGTTTCTGACGGGGGTGCGGGGAGGCGCGGGCGGGGACGGGGACCCACGCCCGGGACTCGGCGCTATTAGGCTGCGCGCGGACCAGCTGACCTAAGCGACCGGCCCCTGAACCGCGAGATTCACAGTGGGACTGAAGTGGTAGCCACGATTCTGAAACGCAACGTGGAATCATGACCCTTCTCACGTTAGGTGACCGTCGGTAGCTGCTTGAGCCGAGTGCTCCGAGACCAGCCTTGTGTTTGTAGCGCCCCCCGGCGGCGAAGCCTCCTCGGCAGGGCGGGGCCAGCTGGGGGCGGGGTCGGACGGTCAGAACGCCGGCCGAGCAAGCCGCGCTGAGGAGGGCCCGGTCCGTCTGGTGTTTGTGGAGAGGGACGGGGAGGCCACCGTCACCGAGGGCTCCGCTTTGTCGCAGGCCTCCCTTCCCCATCGTAGACGTTGGAACTTCGGCGCGTCCAAGCGCGTCCGCAGGCCCCTCCTCCCCTCAGAGGCGGGTGACGATGGAGGAGGAAGGTGCCCAGAGTCTCACTGGGACACCCTTTAAATAACACCGCCCCCAATTGTTAAAATCTTGGTATTTTCTCTTCTTTACTCCCGTCTTCTTTACAAATCTGGAGCCTTTGCTCAAATGCTTGTGCGATCCAATATCCATCTGCTGGGAACTCTCCTATGAAAGAAATGACAAACCGCACGTTTTAGACAGACCTGTTTTCTGGGAAACCAAGGGCACAGGATGGCAAAGTATTCGGGGACACCTGTTCCTGACCGGTGACACGGCATCAAGGATTAAAGACTTGTCTTGCCTTTGCTCAGATTTCAAAAACCCCTCGGGTGTGCCGAAATATTGCCAGCCAATCAAGTTTCACCTTTTTATAAAACGTTGATGACATAATGCGTACGTTTCTGATGACTGTAATTGATTAGAATATAAAGAGGTATTAGTGCTATGGATTTTTTAAAAAAATTATTTATATTGATTTTTTACAAACCATATGTCTATGGACCATTACTGTTCATTTTTAATGGTTAAAATAGGTGAGTTTCAATGACCTTTAATAGCCAAATTGTTTATAGACATTCTCATTATAAAAACCAAGAATGTGGAAATCTCCCAATTCTTTTAGCATTTTTTATTAGCAATTTCGTTGGAAGCAGGTTTGGCTTAACATAAACCATGACTTTTGCTTTAACATGATGGCCAAAAAAAAAAAAAAAAGAAAGAAAAGAAACTAATCTGTATGATAACTTTAAATTTAAGTGTTTAGAGACATTTGGAAGAATCAACTCAGATAGCATCTCTATAGTTTGTTAAAATTTCCAGTACCAAATGATTGTAGAGTCCTTTCAGATCCAAGAAAGGATTTACTGTACATATGAGTATTTTTTTCAATGCAGAATTTCATTACAATGATTAAAACTGCCAAGGTTAGGTGTATCTTTTTGTTTTGGCCATTTAAGACAGTTTGTTGATTATGTTTTGGGATTTTACAGCCCAAGGGACCTGGTTTGTTTGTTTTTTTTAACTCTCAGTAGGCTCTTGATGTAAATATTTTTTGTTGTTGTGATCCTCTTTGGGCTATCTGCTAAAAGAATTATAAATGCAAAGTATTGCTGCAGAGTTTTTTTTAAAGTCTAGTGATTGTTAAATATGTCATTAACATTTCCTTTGCAAGTAGTGCTTAAAATGTTATTTCATCTTAGTAGTCTGCTAGGTTACTTAATGACACTGCTTCTCCAAAGAGGCTAATCTCACCCCAAACTGATTACTTTTTATCTGCACTTAAACCTTATCATAGATTACTTGTTGGTTACTTTTTTTTTGGCTTTTATATGGTGTTAACTTATCCTACCAAGATCGAATATTCGTGTATAAGTTTTTATGCAAACATGTTTTCATTTCTCTTGGGAATGGAGTTGTTGGGTCAAATGATAACTGTGTGTTTCATTTTTTGAGGAACTGCCAGTCTGTTTTCCAAATCAGATGTACTATTTTACATTCCCACCAGGTGGGTGTATGAGAGTTCCAATTTCTCTGCATCCTCATCAACACTTATTATGATCTGTCTTTTTGATTATAGCCATGCTAGTGGGTGTGGAGTGGTATTTCGTTGTGGTTTTTTATTGCTTTTCCCTGATAGGTAGTGATGTTGAACATCTTTTCATGTGCTTATTAACCATTTATATATCTTATTTGAAGGACTGCCTTTTTAATCCTTTGCCCATTAAAAACATTCTTTTAAATTATTGAGTTTTAATAGTTCTTTATATATTCTAGATACAAGTCCTTTATTAGATACATGACTTACAAATATTTACTCCTATTCAGTGAGTTGTCTTTTCACTTTCTTGATGGTTTCCTTTGAGGCACAAAGTTTTAAATTTTGGTAGAGTACAGCTTATCTATTTTTTCTTTAATTGCTTTTGCTTTGGGTGTTATATCTAAGAAATCATTTCTAAATTTAAGGTCATGAAGAGTTACTCTTGTGTTTTCTTTTAAGAGTTTCATAGTTTCAGCTCTTACATTTAGGTCTGTCATTCATTTTTGGTTAACTTTTGTATATGATGTGAGGTGGGGGTCCAACTTCATTCTTTACATATGGGTATCCATTGTCCCAGTATCGTTTGTTGAAAAGACTATTCCTTCCCGATTGAGTTGTCTTGGCACCCTTATTGAAATCAATTATAAACATGAGGGTTTATTTCTGGTATTATAAACGTGAGGGTTTATTTCTGGATTCTCAGTTCTATTCTACTGTCTATCCTCATGCCAGTGCCACGCTATCTTGATTACTGTTGCTTGGTTTTAAAATTAGGGAAGCTTGAGTTTTCCTATTTTGTTCTTTTTCAATATTGTTTTGGCTATTCTGTGTCCCTTGGTTTTCTATATGAATTTTAAGATCAGGTTATCAATTTTCGCAAATAGGTCAGCTGGGATTTTGATAGGAGTTGCAATGACTCTGTAGCTCAATTTGAGGAGTATTGACATCTTTACAGGATTAAGTCTTCCAGTCCATGAACATGAGATGTTTTGCATTTATTTAGATCATCTATTACTTTCTTTTCACAATATTTTATGGTTTTCAGAGTATAAGTTTTATTCATCTTTTGTTAAGTTTATTCTAAGTATTTTATTCTTTTTGATGTTATTTTAAATGGAATTGTTTTCTTAATTTATTGTTCAGGTGTTTATTGTAATTGTAGTTACCAATTTAATTTTTAATGTATTCTATCAGAGATCTTCAGGAATAAGTATAACCTAATATTTAGGAATGGAAAAAGTAGTTTTTCTGTTAGTTTTGATTATTTTGAATAAAAATTTTAGTTTTAAATTTATATTGATTTATAGAAGTCCTTAAAACTATTTTCACTGATTTATTTCTAATATTTGTGGCCAAGAAATGCTATTTTTCAATACATAGTTATAAAATCTAGTATAGATGTTTACTTTTAACACATGTGTACAGTTTCTTAATTATTTCCTTGCCTTAATTTCTTTCTTTTTTTTTTCTCTTTTTTTTTGTTGGGTGGCCGGTAAGGGGATCAGAACCCTTGACCTTCATGTTATCAGCATGTGAGCTAACTGGCCAGCCCTTCTTGCCTTAGTTTTCTAACTCCCTTATTATTCAATATTTAGAATAGTGAACTGGGAAACATTGCCAGTATAGAAATAGAGACACAATGGAATCCCATGTATTTATTACTTATCTTCATCATTTACCAACTTGTAGTCCCCCCCACCTAGATTATTTTGAAACAAATCCAGACATCAAATTATTTCATCTAAAAATTAATGATGTGCTTTACCAAACAGATTTACTCTTTGTAACTATTTTATATTGGAGCAAAACCTGCTGTAGTTGACTTTGCTTTAAAAGGTGGTTAGTTTATTAGGATAAGAGGAGTGAATAATTAAAATTTGTTTTTTTATTTTGATACGCAGGAGTCCAGATCTTACATAAAATGGATGTTTCTCACACTAGATACTGAACATTAAGTAGAAAATTTATTTAGTAAAATCTAATCTACCATGGAAGAAATACCAATAAAAGTTGCTGTTAGAATTAGACCTCTGCTTTGCAAAGAAGTTCTTCATAATCATCAAGTTTGTGTGAGAGTAATTCCAAACACCACGCAAATTATCATTGGGAAAGACAGAGTCTTTACTTTTGATTTCGTTTTTGGCAAAAATTCCACTCAAGATGAAGTTTATAATACATGTGTAAAGCCCCTCATGTTGTCACTCATTGAGGGATATAATGCAACTGTTTTTGCCTATGGACAAACTGGATCTGGGAAGACGTACACCATTGGAGGAGGCCATGTTGGTAAGATTCTTATGCTTTTTGACTTTTATTTGAGACACTAGAAAGAAGCTAAAATATGACAACACCTGACACACAGTAGGTGCTTAGCATATTGGTTGATTAATGAAAGAATGAATAGGATAATCAAATTTAATAAGATCATTATCTTTGAAAGATTTGTTTTTAAATACTAAAGTTTCATTAAATCGTCTAATTTATGGCTATATTTCCTTGAGGGGGGAAGTTTAAGACAATGTTTAGTGTTCAGCTCTTGTTATTTTGAGGAGAATTTAAAATGATTTAACATGATCGAATTTTGCATCCCTTAACAAGCCAGTTGTAAATATTAAGAGTCCTGAAACCAGGACCTTAGGGACAGTAGGAGAAATTTATTATGTAGTTTAAAGTGTTTTTCCTTTCATTTTCTAGCCACATTTCTATTTTAAATACTGAATATTTTAGGATATAATTTATCCTGCTTGTGTGGAAAAGGTAGAACTGTAGAATTTTCCTGTACAGCTGGAGGAAACCTTAGAAATCATGTTTTTTTTTTCCTTTTTGTCTTTTTTCGTGTCCGGCAACGGATCGCAACCCTCAGTGT